CTTCGAAACGCACAGCGAGACTCTCAAACAGAGTCTCTACGACTGGACTCCCCACGACTGGAGTTCTGGGGACGGGACCCCCCATCTCTAGACTGCCCACGCCGACCAGAAACGAGTCGCTGCCTCGCAGCGGTGGGCGTGTGCCGACCAGTCCTTCGAGGCGGTCCCGGACACTCCTTCCGATTGGACGAGATTCGGTGGACCGAAATGGACCGATGGATCGAGACAGACCGGAGGATAGATCGGTGGATCGAGACGGTCGGGCGAGTGAGGGGGACGGTGGGGCGATCTACGACATGTTGGCGCAGCTGATGGAGAACCAGCGGCACTTGGAAGCGATGTTAGTGCGATTAAGCGGTTCGCTTGACAAGACGCCGGCGGTGAGTACTCATCGGCGGCTGTCATCTTCTGGAGGCGAGCTGAGACGGCACGGTTTGGCCAGCAGTGAAGCCCCACTGCCCGAGAGCGATCCCCGGCTACTCGACGACCGACTGGTTCGGCGGCGGCGAAACCCGTTCCTCAGAAACCCATTCGTCCCGTGACTCATTTGGCCTTTTGCTCTATGGCCTTTTAGTCAGCAACTGTGTTCCTGGCGCGCCCCTTTTATGCCGAGAGGTTCTGGATCCTAGAAGGTTCTAGCCCTCCAGGTCGTGCTCCTAGTTAGTGTTAGTGAGTGGCTGGTTAGTGATTAGTTAGAGACCAGTAGCTCCGCGAAACGAGCGCCTTGGTACCCACACTGCACACGCTTGCTTGCGCACACAATCAGAATGACAACAAAACAATTGGTGAGCACGGAAGGTACTGAGGGACCGATTTCAAAGCAATACTGGCGGTGCCGATGTAGGTCACGAGTTAAAATTTTGACCGCAAAAAAGATGCTGGGTATTCGATGCCACTCGGATTGGAGCTGCTGGCACTTTACCACAGTGTTGGCAATGCTGGAGACTCTTGCAGAACAACCAGGACAGCAGGCACGACGCTTTTTCTTGAAGAGCGTGGGCGATGACAGTGTCGCCAGGGCCCTCGAAAGCCGTCTCCGGATACCCGAACCCGATGAAGATAAGGTAATTCTTCGAGGTGACAATGATTTGCGAATTCTTGAATGGTTTGAAGCGAAGCTCATTCCGGCTCAGAGCCCTTCTCCCGGAGCTGTCATTGTTCCGGAAACGGTGGAGGAATACGAGCAGCGAAGTGTCCCCTGTTTTGCAGACGTTTGCGAATGGCTTATTCCTCGGTTCTGGTCCGACCCGACGAATTCGGAACACGCGCGTGCAGTGGTTGCTCGTTTAAGAGAAGCGTACAGCAGCACAAGTGTCTCGCCTAAACCTTGGTTACTAGATGAACATCAGTCTTTCGCCTCTTGGGTGCCAAGCAGCATTTTCGAGGACGGTTTTGGGCTAAGGTCAGCTGTCGCCGTGGCCTATTGGGCTTACTACTTGGAAAAGAGAACTGCAATGTCACCGGCGCTAAGATTGCGGTATCTCGCCGTACTTAGTCGTTGGTAT